TCCGGCCCGGCGGGGCTCCGGGCGGCGGCGGCCGCGGAGCAGCCTCGGCGCGACGTGGAGGGCTGGAGGCGGCGGCGATGCACTAGGCCTCGCTCTGGGGCGGCTGCCCGGGACCCGCAGGTAGGTGTCGGGCGGGCCCCACTTGACCCCCCCGGCGCTTCGCGGCCCACCCTCACCCCGACCTCCTGTGGAGAGAGGGCCTGAGACCCCACCCCCTGTGTCACCTCCCCGGCCCGAAGCGGACGGAGTTTCGGTCACAACAGACGGGCGCTGAAGCTTCCATTCTCTTCTCCGCCACCACCTCCTCTTCCTTTTCGCTCCCGCTCTGGGATCGGGGCGGTAGCTGCTCTCCCCACTTCAGTCGGCGGCCGCAAACGCCGCTGTCCCCCCTCTCGCCCCTCTCTGGGATCCGGGCTTTGGAACTTCCATCACCCTCCTTAGATGCTGCCCCGAAACTTTCCCTTTCTTTTCCCAGTAGGGCCTTTCAGCCTCCTTTTGAGCCTACTGGAATAATTTAAATATTAAAAAATTGTTTTTCTTCCTGGGGAAGGCTTCCTGGGGAAGGCTATCCCCCTTCCCCCATTAACTCGGTGTTTTGCAGTTTGGTGATTTAGCTCGCAGTAGTTTGTTCAGTAATTAATTTTCTTCAGTTCTGCTTCTTAACATCTGTGCATTGATACAAAAGCAGGCCTCCCCTGCCCTCCCATCGTTGACAAGGGAACTTTTGGCTGTACATTATAATTAACTACTTGGTCTGTCCATGTGTTGTGAGTTCAGGACGATATTTTTAGAATTTTGACTGACCTGGGGTTGCAAGTTTTGTTTTGTGTTAACTCGCCTTTAACCAGCTTTATTTTTTGTCCTTTATTGAGTGAGGCCCTCCTTACTTTCGAATAATTAAATTGTTTGCACTATTTGTTTTTTTGTTTTTAATTGGCTCTATTTCTGATTTGTCAAACCCCAGGGCGATCAATAGTAAATGATTACAAGGCAGATGATATCATGATATAGTATGCTGAGGAATGCGTTATTGTGGTTAACTTAAACTGCAGATTTTGATGGACATTCGAGTTGACTTTTATAAATCTGATAGTTCTAATTGGAAAAGTACTTTGAGAGCCTTGATGATTTCTAAGCAGTTTTGATGGAACAGATGGAATGATTGGGATTTGACTATATTTGTATTGCAGTCAAGAGTCTGATTTCCTAGAAATGAGTATTACTTGATGGTTCATAGTGGTCATCATTGCTCATGATAGGTTTTGGTAAGAATGATCAATATGTGCAAATTTTGGGTGGTTGATAGTTGTGGTTTGGGGGATTAAATGTTTGCAGTTTTATTGTGATTTGGCTATTTTAAAATTATAATCTGGTAACTTAAGAATTACTACACTATGAGGACAGACCTTACAGTTGGAGGATCATTTTTAAAAGAAGTGAAAAATGTATTGATTTTCTTTGTAAAGAACGTATCACAGAACTGTAAAGACTTCACATTTTGTTGATGATATTTATATATTTTGTTTTTGTTACTTAGCATTTGGCTTTCTGAAATGTTTTCATTGTTTTTAAATTATCCAAAGTTTGCTAGAAAAAGATCAAATTTTCATGTTTTTCTGGAAAAGTTAAAATTTATTTCTGGGTAGGTATTAAGTTTTTATGTCAGAATTAAAATCAAATGTAACTCATGAAATGGCAAACTTTGCAGAATTTGTTCTTAATCACGTTCCTTTTTCTATCCATAAAAGTTGATTAAAATTCCTTTTTCCTGCTTCTAGCCTTTTACATCTTTGAGTAACACTCATTTAAAGGATGAAATTAAATGATTTATAGTATATTTACAGAGTTGTGAAACCATCATCATAATAAATTTTAGAACATTTTCATCACCCCAGAAAGAAACCTGGTCATTAACAATACTCCCCATTCCTCCTACCCCACCCCCAGACCTAGGCAACCACTAATCTTTCCATCTCAATATTTGCCTATTGTGATTCATTCATATAAGTAGGTTTTTGAAGTTTTTCTCTGAAAATCAACTTACATGTCTAAAATATTTTGAGTCCGAGAATAAGCAGCTGATCACTGGTGTTAATAACTGATGTTCTAAACAACTATTTGGTTGTATTCAGCATGAAGTATGGAGAAAGAAAAAAGCATAAATGGATTTTAGTGATCTCGAGAGGTGATCTGGTCAGCTGGGAGTCACGTAGAAGTTAAAGGAATATTTTTGCCATTGAAGATTAGGATATCAGGGTTAGGAAAAAAACTTAAATGTCATCAGCTTGCTTCCTACTTGTTTCACAAATAGATGGCAGGAACCATATGAGGAAATCTGAGGAGTGGAAGCTTGAATCTCTAAGATTGTGGCTAAAGAACCACAGTGTGGCCATGTAAAGCAAGAAATGGGGATTTGCTAGTTAGAATTGTTTACATTCTTTTATGTATGCATGTATTTGACATTTTACTAGCATTTACTCATTTTGGGATGGAGGGTTGTCAGGAGACTAATGCATCTGCAGAGATGAAATCCCTCTTACAAAATCCTCTAAAAATGCTTTAACCTAAAGGAGGATGGCATATACTAAAAGGTATCTTCTTGTACTTTTACCATCTTATTTTTTAAAAATTCTATTTTAAAAACAAAATTAATTAAAAATAAATTAAGATTGGGGTGCCTAGGTGGTTCAGTCGGTTGAGCATCTGACTCTTGATTTCCACTTGGGTCTTGATCCCAGGATGGTGGAGTCAAGCCTCACTTCCCCTCAGTTGGGGATTCTCTCCCTCTGCCTCCTTCCTCTGCTGTCTTGCTCACATGTGCTCTCTCTTGCTCTTTCTCAAAAACAAATTAAGATTAACAAGCCTGGTTGGAGGCCTTCTTTTTCAAAGACCTGGGGCCCTAACATCTAAACTAATGGTTCTCAAAAGAGGGTAAATTTACCCTCCAAGGGACATTTGGCAGTGTCTGGAAATGTATTTCATTGTCACAACTGAAGGTGTGGTGCCATTGGCATATAGCCAGGAATGTTGCTAAATTTATAAATGCACAGGATACATCCTATGTTATCCTGCACACCCTCTCCCCCAACAAAGAACAAAGAATAGCCACCCAAATGTCAGTAATGTTTTAAACCTGTGGTTTGTATTTTTCTGGCTAGTGTTCTCAACTCCTGCCAGGTGGGAAAATAACTCTCACTGGGTATATTAGATTAGCCCTTTAGGTCCTCAGGCAACTCTCTCTTTGCAGTTGAGGGCATATGAGGGAAAAATAAAAGGACATCTAACTATGACACAGTACAGATATTCTTTAGTAAAAATTAGTAATTAGAAATAATTAGAATTAGATATTCTACAGTAAAAAATTTTTTACTGGAAATGGCAGATTTGTTTTACTGCAGATCTGAACTATTATGTTTTGAATTGTTCGTTACTGGTGCATAAGTTTTTGAGGGGTAGATTGGGCCCAGGTTGTGGAGTTTTTGAACGTGATAAACTTGATATATACCACTATCAAAGAATACATAAGGAGAGTGACCTATCGTATCTGAATTTTAGAAACATGATTCTAAAATTGAGTGAGGTTAGAACCAAAGAAGCTTTTGCTAGGAGATTCTCACAGCAGTCTAATCTGCAAATAAAATCCTGAACTAGATTACTCGCAATTAGAATGGAGAGCAAGGAATGGATGTGTGATGAATTTTGGAGGTAGAATCCATAGGACAGTCCACACTGGTATAGAAATTAAAGAATGTAGAGAGGTCAGGGAGTCAAGTTGGCTGTAGGGTTTCTAGTTTAGGAAACATAGATTATTGTGCCATTAACGGAGCTAGAGAAGGAATAAACTTTTGGCAGGTGTTGGCAGATAAAGATGGCATAAATAATAAATTTAAGTTTTGGCTATATTGAATTTTAGGTATCTTTGAGACTTGTAGGTGAAGATGCCTAGTAGGCAGTTAGAAATGTGGGTGTGGGACACTGAAAAGAGCTTATAACTGGAGAAAGATCTGAAATCTGTCTAGTTTTCTCTATCTCCACTACCATTATCGGAGTTCAGGCTATGGGCATCTCTCAGTGAGATTAAGCAAGTTTCCTATCTGGACTCTTCTAGTCTTAGTCTTCTCCATTGCATTCTCTGTGCTATAATCAGTGATTTTTCTGAAGGGAAAATCTGATTATATCATTTCTCATCATAAATTATTTCTGTGACTATTTTATCCTCATGATAAAATCTATATTCCTTATTCTTTTAATAGATTTGTAATTTCATTTAAGTTATTTTCCCAACTTACCTCTCTAGCCTTGTGACTCTCCCCTATTCCCTCCTCCCTCTGAATATATAATTTTCTCAGACATGTTGAATTATTTCCGGTTTCTGGCAGAAGGCTTCTTTTCCTGTCCAAGCCTTTGCAACATACTATTCCCTATTCCTGGAGTATTCTCTTTTTCTCATACTTCCTCCCCTCCGTTTATTTGGTCACTTCTACTTATCTTCACTTCTTTGTAAACTTTCATTGATTCATTATTTTTTATTATTATTGAAAAATTTTAAACCTGCAGAAAAGTCAAGAATAGTGAACACCTACACACACATACATAAACACTCGCCGCCCCCCGCCCCAATTTCTTTTGCCAAGTCTGAAAGTAGGCTGTAGATTTCATTACATTTCACCCCTAAATACTTAAGCATGCATCTCCCAATTACAGGGACATTCCCCTATATGATCACAATGCTGTTATGATACCTAAAAGTATCAACACTGAACAAGCTTATTAAACATACAGTCCATACCTAAATTTCTCCATTTGTCCCAAAATTTTTTATAGCTGTTTTTTTCTCTACACTATTACAAGATTCAGTTAAGGTTCATGTATTGCATTTGGCTGGTATGTCTCTTTAATCTCCTCCAATCCAGACTAGGCCCAGTGCCTCCCTCTTCTTTTTTGGTTTATCCTTTGAAAAATAGAGGCATTTGTGCTCGAGTTTATTCCATATTCTGAATTACTCTGTTTCTTCATGATTAGATTCTGGTCAGATATTTCTGGCAAGAATACCACACAGATGATAGGTATTCCTACCACTTTATCACATCAGGAGGCACATAATGGTAGTCTGTCCCCCT